TCTGTCAACGCTCTCTGGTTTCATTTAAAAGAGTCGATCATCAGATTTTGTTCAAGATTAACCTTCAGGGTGGATATAGCTCACTAGCAGCCTCACACTGAGGACCTATCCACGTCATCATTTACCCAGAATGCTTTGTGTGTAAATAAAATGGCCCCATCCATGTAATATAATTTTAAACTTTTACTTTAAAAATTATATAAACTAAACAGCCTACGGTATTTTGGAGTCTTTATTTTACAGTTAAAATTTATGTTTATCAAATAAAGTCTAATGTTACAACTAATCATGGATCCCTTTAATGCTCTTTATTGATTTGCTTGTAACGTTTTTCTAATAATACAGAATTTTGTGAAGTTATACCTTGAAAAAAACCACTAACACACAAACATGCGACCTCCGTAGACCCGACCGTCTCTTTTCACAGCTGTTCATGCAGCCGACACTGCTGGTCTACGTCTGCTGCAGCCCATGAATTGAGTCACAGCCATGGTCTTCATTCAGGCCTTTTAATGTTCCTGGAAATCAGGGAAAACCTTGAAAATGAATTTAAATTTTCCAGATGGGAAAACTCTGGGAATTTGAGCACTAATCTGCTGAATAAAGGATTTTTGAGATTTTGACGTGTACATGTATTTATACTAGTATTCTGACATCGTTAGGTCCATGTTCTGCCTCTACAGAGTACATAGTGCATGTGTCCCTACTGACTGGCTATGGTGGATATTTAGTATCTAAAGTTTTACTGTATTTGCCGTATGGATGCACTGTTTGCTTTATGTGTTGCTACAATAAGTCTTTGTCCTGCCACTCAAGATGCCAAGTCCTGGAGTTTCATGTGACTGAAATATCTGCTTGAATTTCAGGATTTATACGGGGAGTTTTGTTTTCATGAATACTGGGGACACTCATTGTTGGGATTAGTTTAACCAGGGTTCTTAACAAATACAGAAAATGTTTGCTTAATAGTAGAAGGTCTATTTCAGTATCAGGTTTTGTTGGTGGTGAAGATAAAAACCATGTCTGAAGTTTTCCAATATTTTAAAAAAATGTTTCTAGTGAACTTCATCTCCCAGCACGGTTTAAGAGTTCCGACCCCAATCCTGATCATTTCGTACGAGACGTTTCGACTGCACGCTGAGGTCCTGCACAAGGGCAAAGTCGGTCTTATCATCTGCGACGAGGTATTTCATCTTCTGTCCTCCTGCTCGGAGATGTGAGAGGTGTTTCTGAAGCGCTGTCGTTTGATATTTAACTGAGTGCTGCTGCAGGGCCATCGACTGAAGAACTCCGACAACCAGACGTACCAGGCTCTGAACGCCATGGGTGGTCAGAGGAGGGTGCTGATATCAGGCACTCCCATCCAGAACGATCTGCTCGAGTATTTCAGCCTGGTCCATTTCGTGAATGCTGGAATCCTCGGTAAGAAGACATCAAATATTAAGATCACGAGATGATTTCATCAGATGTTATTTGTTTATAATCAACATAGTGCACTCTGCTGTTATGATGATGACTTCCTGTTTGTTTTCCTTTAAAGTTCAGCAGCTTCAGCGCAGAGTTACAGATTTGAAATTAATATAACTAGAGAAACCGCATTTCCTGTGAAAATGCTAGTATGAATGCTTCCTGCTGAAAACTTAAGATGAAAGCTGCTGAAATTGAGCTAAAAATATTTAATAGCAAAAATGGTAATGCAAGTTTGATTTGAAAAGCTGAAAGAAGCAAAAAATAATTAAATTAGCAGAAAAACAGTAAAAAGGAGTAAAATAGTTGAAATAGCTCAATATAGCATAAAAAATCTGTAAAAAGCATAAAAAGCACAAATTAGAAGAAAAAGGCACAAAATCTCAAAAAAATGTCAAAAGAATAGCATAAAGAAGCATATCTAAAGCTCAAATAGCATAAAAAAGCTAAAATAAGCTAAAGGTAGCAGTCACAAGTTGGAATTAACACCAGAAAATGAAAGTTTTGTAAAAAATAAAATAAAGTTAGCAGAAAAAAATGCATAAAAATACAAAAAAGAGACAATTACACAAGTAAAATAGCTAAAACGGCTAGTTTTTAATAAAACAGCTAAAATGTTGCTGGAAATTCTTTTAATTAGCTTAAAGAAGCATAAATAATACAAGTTTGCTGTTTTCAGAATTATAATGTATATTTAGCTTAAAACCCGCTAACTTTAGCTAATAACAGCTGAACTTTAGCTAAAACTGCAGCAAATAGTTGAATATAGCAGAAGGCATCTGTAAATAGCTTACCGGTAAATAGCACAATGTAGCAGAAAAAAGCAGAAAGAATCAGAATTTTTGAGCAAATAGCAGAAAAAGGCTAAAGTTTGCTAAAAAGCACAAGAAAGTGAAAAAGAGCAGAACCAGAACACGATGTGTAATAGAGGTGCACCAAAAAAAAATGTTTTACATCAGAATCGTGATTCTCATTTACAAAGATTCAGAATCGATTTAAAATGTCCCAAAATTGATTTTTATTAATATAAATAAATAAATAAAGCAAATCCAAAGGCTTTCAGCCTCTATTTTGTAGCTACATGGGACATCCTGACGTCATCACACAGCTGCTTCTGGATGTACAGAAAGCACCAAAACAAAGAGGAAACTACAGAACTGGAGGAAAGAGAGATTCAACTGACCCCTGTCATCACTGAATGCAAAGATTTGGGCTCATTTTGGTTTTTACTGAATGAGTCTGAGTTTGACATGAGCTTCAGTTTGTGCAAGGTTTGCAAAATGAAGATGAAGCACTTTGGAAACACGCCAAATGGGCTCACATTATCAGTTTTTAATGAAAAATCGATTTTGAATTGAATATTGTGGCCTTAAAAGTCAGAATTGAATCGAATCGTGAGAGAGTAAAAGATTCCAAGCCTAGTGTAAGGTGCTGTAAAGATTTAGAAACATTTTAAAGGATGTTAAAAACAGCTCCATTGATTTTTCAATGACCAAAAAAGTGAAATCGTTGGAAAAAGAATAAAAAGCTGAAATACTAAAAGTCATAGCACACTTGGCATAAATGAGCTGAACGTTTTGATATATGAATTGCTGATATTGCACAAAAGTTGTGGAACGAGTTCTGTGCTGAAAAACGTACGGAAGAATAAATGATGCGTTTTGGAAACGCTTCATCTAAATGGGTGAAGTGCTTTAAAAACTGTTTGCAGCAAAATCACCTGATTCCACAGCTCTGTCCTCCCCTCCTGTTTGTCAGTAGGGCTGCCACGATTAATCGACGACTAATGTAATAATCGATTAATCGTTTTTTTTTGTTCTTTATACTTTGTTTTTCTCTTCAAACTGCTTTGACACCTTCCACTGCCACATCTGCCTTTCTGTCCTTGACACACATGCACAGTAGTGGTAACTGGGGTAGGCCGTGGACGTCACAAGACATTATACAGACAGGCTCTGGTATCATGGCTACCCAGCAACGGAGCTCAAAAGTGTGGGATCATTTTAAGAAAATAAAAGAGAAACCTGTGTAATATCTGCAGAGCAGAACTTGACTTCCACAGCAATTATTTTTAGTTAGCATATAGCTAAAATATAACCATGGATATATAATAGCAGCTGCATTCTGACATGATAAGCTGTATGTTTTATATTCAATTAACGTATGATCCGATTAGTCGACTAATTGAATAAATAATCTGTGATTAATCGATTATAAAAATAATCGTTTGTTGTCAGTCACCAGTTTAACTTTATCATGGCTGCTGGTTTTGCTCACCTCGACTGCAGGAACAGCTCAAGAATTTAAAAAGCGATTCGAGCTTCCCATCCTGAAGGGTCGGGACGCAGACGCCAGTGATAAAGAACGACAGACAGGAGAAGAGAAACTCAAAGAGCTTATTGGCATCGTCAACAGGTGAGCAACAGGTGGTGGTTTTTATTTTTTTTACTGTCTTATTACTGTTAGTTTCATCGTGGCATGTATTTTCCTGTCTGTGTCAGAGGTGTGTTTTACTGAACATGTGCTGCTTCCACAGGTGTTTGATACGAAGAACATCAGATATCCTGTCCAAGTATCTTCCTGTGAAGATTGAACAGGTTGTGTGCTGCAGGTAAGAGAACAGGTTTTAAAGATGTTTGTAAAACACTTTGATGCAGTGGCTCCTAAAGTTAGGGTCATGATCCAATCGTGGCTCATAAAGCATCAAATTAGGGTCCTCAGAAATGTGTGTAATATTTGTCCCATAACTGGTAACAAAACACATAAATTCCTGTAAATTCCAGTCCTGCCTGTCTGCCCTGCAGCATTAATCGATTAATAGACAAGAATAATATGAATATTTGACTGATTTTCTGATTAGAGTTGCTGTTTATACAGCATCTTTTATATTTTCTGTTGCCTTTATTGCTGTTAGGGCAGCTTATTTACTGCTCAAAGTTTCTTCCCTCCTAACCTCAGCTCAAATCCTTTAAAGAAAAGGAAAAGAGTTGCTCCAAAATCTGTACTTCAGAAGATTAAAGCATAAACATGGGGCAGCTGGGAAGTTTGGTGCAAAGAGGGACTGAGCTGGTGGGAAAAAAAGCTACGTACATCCTAGAATAGAGTTTTCCAAACCGTGCAAACAAAATAAAACCTTATTTTCAAGAACTCCCCATGCAGAATACACACACACATCGACTGCTCAGGATTTGGAGACCCTGCAGTGAAATGTCCCTCACAGCTCAGTGAGAAGCTAACTTTAGACCAGAGGAGCCCAAAGTTGGGCCCGCGGGCCAAATTTGGCCCGCCAAGCCATTCGATTTGGCCCACCAACAGTTGCCAAAGTAACAAGGTTGTATGTAACCTGTTATCCTATAGGTAGAAACAAAGTATTTCCATTGGTCAAATGACTATATAAAAGGGCTATAGTGAAGGTAGTTTTCAGTCATGGTGCTGACATATCTTTGCTTTATTAGGATTAAACATGAAACATGAAACGACAACAAGAAATATTTAGATCAGATTTAACCCTGCATGTAGATTTGCACACTTTAAAAGGCCACAAAAACTCATATTTTATCAATTTATGATATGTCCCATGAGCCTTTGCTGCTTGAGCGTACAACAGACTTTCTCCAAGTGCACAGACTAAAACAAAAGAGGGCCATTGCATAGCTTAATCGTTAAAAATAAAGGACTTTACTTTAAAAAGTATTTGTATTTCATGTATTATATAACTGCATTTGGCCCGCAGCCATGGATAAATTTTCATTTTGGCCCCCTCGGGTAAAATGTTTGGGCACCCCTGCTTTAGACCATAAACAGGAGGTAGTTTAAGTCTGATTTATTATTTAAGCTGAGTACACTTTGAGGTAATTTACTTGTTAGATGTGTAAAAGTTTTCCCAGCTGTTTGCTGAAGAGGCTGCTGGATGTGATTTCCTGCAGGCTGACTCCTCTGCAGACTGAACTCTATAAGCTGTTCCTACGGCAGGCCAAACCCCTGGAGTCCTTACAGGAGGGCAAAATAAGCATTTCCTCCCTGTCCTCCATCACATCCCTCAAGAAGCTCTGCAATCGTAAGTGTTGAACAAGTCTGGAGAGGTTCACTCAGATAGTTTTAACCTTTATTTAACCAGGCAGATCTCATGGAGATTATAAATCCTTTTTTTTTTCAAGAGACCCGGTCAAGAATGACAACAGCACACAGACATTACAAAATTTAAAACTACAAATATTAAACTACAATCAAATACTTCATAATAAATAAAAGAAAAATAAGAAAAACATACAAGATAAAATAGAACTAAATAGAGTACAAAATCAGTTAAAACATGTACAAACCAATGTCTTAAGTACAAACTGATTATTAAAAGAGATATGATGTAAAATGTTAACTATAGTGTTGGGGTGTATGCTAGAGCTTTCAGCTAACATTAAGCTAGCATTCTGCGTATTTTACCTTTTAGCTACTATTCTGCTCCATTTAGGTTTTAGCTACTGTTTTGCTCATTTTACTGCTATTCCTGATTTAAGCTTTAGCATTGGTACTTTTAGCTACAGTTTTGCTAATTTTAGCTTTAGCAAAGCTTTGGCTAAACTTTGCTACAGTTTAGCTTTGTTTAGCACCTGTTTTGCTAATTTCAGCTTTAGCATATTTTTAGTTTTGGTATCTGAGTTGCTACTTTGTTTTATGTTCTTCATTTTTTTAAATTTAGAATAAACATTTTTGTGTTTATTTTCAGCTTTTTTGCACCTTTGTTTTTATTTTCACTCAGGATTAATAAATCTGCTCTGTGTTGCTGCTTTTATTGACTGCTCAGCTTTTAGCTCATTTTAGCCTCTGTTAACTTTAGTAGTAGCTTCTTGGGCTAGTTAATGGATTCATGACACTGGGCTCTCTCATTTGGCAGACCCAGCTCTGATCTATGACAGGTGTGTGGAAGGTGAGGGGGGCTTCGAGGGGGCTCTGGACCTGTTTCCTCCAGGCTACAACACGAAAGCTGTCGAGCCTCAGCTCTCTGGTAAGCAGACGTTTCAGTGAAGCATTGATGATGTGAAACAGTGAGATAAACAAGCCCTCTTTCATTTTCTACAAGAAAAGAAACCAGAGTTAACCTGGATTAAATTATGAGTAAGAGTTGACAGTTAATTACTTAATAATTATAGAATGACAGAATAATCAGATCAGAGTTACCAACAGAATCAGCCTAATAAAACAAAAGTTTGTCCAATCAGACAGCTGCATGAGACAAAATGTCTGCATCAGATCCTTCTGAAGATTATATTTCTTTCAAGTTTAATAAAAATAAAATAAAATGCTTCAAATGTTTTAGAGTCAAGAGCAAAATGGTTCCATTAATTTGCAGATTTAATGTGAGAAACTTCTTGTTTTGTAATATTTAGTTAACCACATGTGTTTTAGGATTTTAGATTTTACAGTGGTTTGATCTCTTTATTTTGTCCTCGGCTGCAGGAAAGATGCTTGTCCTGGATTATATTCTGGCAATGACTCGGACCACGACCAGTGACAAGGTGGTGCTGGTCTCCAACTACACTCAAACACTGGACCTGTTTGAGAAATTATGTCGACACAGACGGTAACTTCAGTGAAGGAGCGCGTGTTTAATTCAACAGTCTGTTCAGGTAGCGTAGAGGTAGTTTGTATGTTTTTTTTTCAGATACCTGTACGTCAGACTGGACGGCACCATGTCCATCAAGAAAAGAGCCAAGATTGTGGAGCGATTCAACAGTCCACAAGTGAGTCTGAAACAACTGAAGCTCTGAAAACCACGAGCAGCTTCTGATTTCCTTCTGGTTCCCAGAACCCAGAGTTCATCTTCATGCTGAGCAGCAAAGCTGGAGGCTGTGGCCTGAACCTGATCGGTGCAAACCGCCTGGTGATGTTTGACCCGGACTGGAACCCTGCCAACGATGAGCAGGCCATGGCTCGGGTGTGGAGGGACGGCCAGAAGAAGACCTGCTACATCTACAGACTTCTCTCCGTCAGTCCAGCACACACACACACACAGCCGTTAAAACAGCTTGGTCCTGTTAGAACGATCCTGTGGTTTTCATGTGCTGTTTCCTGACAGACGGGGACCATCGAGGAGAAGATCCTCCAGAGACAGGCCCATAAGAAAGCCCTGAGCAGCTGCGTGGTGGACGAGGAGCAGGATGTGGAGCGGCACTTCTCTCTGGGGGAACTCCGAGAACTGTTCACGCTCAACGAAGAGACATCCAGCGACACGCACGACAAGTAACACACTGTTCTTAGTTTTATTCTGCTCACTTCTCTAAAGTCTTATTTTAAGATGGTGACGTCAGTTTGGCTCTGTGGCACACCTATTATATGTTTTAGTATTTATTCCAGTTCAAACTGATGCTGACCTGTGTTTGCTCTTTGTTTAAGCCCTGTCAGCATGCACACTGGTCCTCAGTTTAAAGGATTTATTTTTTGATATCTTCGCAGAGAAAAGTACAAACACCACTACAGAACACTTTAACCTTAAATTCATCTTGGATGCTTGTTTCATGTCACAGTGGGTCTTCAGTAAAACCTGAAACTCAACTAAAAGTACAGCCCCAGTTCCATGATGGGACATTGTGGAAAACAGAAATAAAACTAAAATATGATGCAAATCCTTTTCAACCTATATTCAGTTGAAAACACTAAAGACAAGATATTTATTGTTCAAACAGAACAGAAATGTTCACTCATTTTGATTTCTGAAACACGTTCCAACAAAGCTGGGACAGGACGTGTAGTTTTCATTATTAAAGGTGCCTTCATAGATGTGCAAGTTAGGCATGTCAGGGGCACTAACACAACCCCATACCATCAGAGAGGCTGGCTTTTGAATTTTGCGCTGATAACAATCTGGACAGTTTCCAATTAACCTGCTCACCTGTGGAATACAGGTGGTGGTGTTTTTTTTAAAGAATCTCTCAACTTTCCAAGTCTTTTGTTGCTCTGTCCCAGCTTTTGTGGAAACATGTTGCAGGCATCAAATTAAAAATGAGTGAATATTTGAAAAAAAAAAAAAAGCATTAGTTTATCAGTTTGAACATTGTATATATTGTCTTTGTTGTGTATTCAAGTGACTAACAGTGTTATCATCATTTTCTCCCAGTCCCATATATATCCCATATACACTCACCGGCCACTTTATTAGGTACACCACGCTAGTAACGGGTTGGACCCCCTTTTGCCTTCAGAACTGCCTCAATTCTTYGTGGCATAGATTCAACAAGGTGCTGGAAGCATTCCTCAGATTTTGGTCCATGTTGACATGATGGCATCACACAGTTGCCGCAGATTTGTCGGCTGCACATCCATGATGCGAATCTCCCGTTCCACCACATCCCAAAGATGCTCTATTGGATTGAGATCTGGTGACTGTGGAGGCCATTTGAGTACAGTGAACTCATTGTCATGTTCAAGAAACCAGTCTGAGATGATTCCAGCTTTATGACATGGCGCATTATCCTGCTGAAAGTAGCCATCAGATGTTGGGTACATTGTGGTCATAAAGGGATGGACATGGTCAGCAACAATACTCAGGTAGGCTGTGGCATTGCAACGATGCTCAATTGGTACCAAGGGGCCCAAAGAGTGCCAAGAAAAGATTCCCCACACCATGACACCACCACCACCAGCCTGAACCGTTGATACAAGGCAGGATGGATCCATGCTTTCATGTTGTTGACGCCAAATTCTGACCCTACCATCCGAATGTCGCAGCAGAAATCGAGACTCATCAGACCAGGCAATGTTTTTCCAATCTTCTCTTGTCCAATTTCGATGAGCTTGTGCAAATTGTAGCCTCAGTTTCCTGTTCTTAGCTGAAAGGAGTGGCACCCGGTGTGGTCTTCTGCTGCTGAAGCCCATCTGCCTCAAAGTTCGACGTACTGTGCGTTCAGAGATGCTCTTCTGCCTACCTTGGTTGTAACGGGTGGTTATTTGAGTCACTGTTGCCTTTCTATCAGCTCGAACCAGTCTGCCCATTCTCCTCTGACCTCTGGCATCAACAAGGCATTTCCGCCCACAGGACTGCCGCTCACTGGATGTTTTTTCTTTTTCGGACCATTCTCTGTAAACCCTAGAGATGGTTGTGCGTGAAAATCCCAGTAGATCAGCAGTTTCTGAAATACTCAGACCAGCCCTTCTGGCACCAACAACCATGCCACGTTCAAAGGCACTCAAATCACCTTTCTTCCCCATACTGATGCTCAGTTTGAACTGCAGGAGATTGTCTTGACCATGTCTACATGCCTAAATGCACTGAGTTGCTGCCATGTGATTGGCTGATTAGAAATTAAGTGTTAACGAGTAGTTGGACAGATGTACCTAATAAAGTGGCCGGTGAGTGTATATATATATATATATATATATATATATATATATATATATAACCAGGTAGATCTCCCTTAAATTTAGATTTTTATGGGAGACTTTAGTGTCCCTTTAAAAAAGGAGATTTTAAAGTCTAAATTTTTTTTACCTATACATATTTATACATTTCACTCTATTAATATGTGATTTATTTATTTTCTATTATAAGTTATATAATGTTACCACCACCCATCATAATGTATATTTTGATATGAATTTTTTGCCATATCGCACATTCCTACCATCCAGAGGACCTACTGATTTTTTCTTTTTGATTGTTTTCTACCTGGATTACTGAGATGCATCAGGACTTCTCTGTTATTAGTTATTTCAGGTGTAAAAGACAGGTTATGTAACACCCTGACTGTATGCAGAGGAGTATTCTAGGTAGGAGTATGAAAGCCTTAAAGCATTGTATGCTGTTTAGAACACAGTGTAGTAATTTTAGTACTCGGACACTGGTCCCACGAATAAACAGGGTCCTGTTGGCTTCAAGCTCCAGCAATGAGAGAAGACGTGGACACTGTTTATGTGGCTTTATAGGTGTTTATATTAAATGAAGAGGACTGAGCCATGTTATTATTCAGAGTAGATGTGTCAGCAGATGTTAAGGCTGTAAAACAGGACTTTTTATACTGTGATGAATTCAGTATCATTCATGTCAAGTCCCATCTGTTGGACCGTCCTCTTGTGCTGTGCTGTTAGGTTTCGCTGTTGCCGCTGTGTAAATGGCAGAGAAGTGAGGCCACCTGCAGAGGACTCTGACTGCACCAGCAACCTTTCCCAGTGGAGTCACTGCTCAGACAAAAAGGGCCTGAGGGACCAAGTACTCAAGGCATCCTGGGACGCTGCTGTGTCCTTCGTCTTTCACCAGCGCTCTCATGAGGACCAGAGGACGGTTGTGTAGCAGGAGAACCTGAATCAAGTGTACACCAAACATTCTGTATATACATGTATTTATTAGTTTCTATGTTTAAAGGTGTTTTTGTTTAGATTAAAACTGGAAAATAAAATTATTGAACTGTCCGGTAATTTATTGTGATGGATACTTGCACCTGACCCCTACATGGGGTATGTTTGATCTGTCGTTCCAGGTGAGTTCCAGGTCTCTCCAGATCCTGCATATGATCTCAGGTTAACAGGTCTGAAGTTTATGGGGGAACATGGAGAGTAAGATTTACACATCTGTACATAAAGGATGTTTCCTCGTGGACAGGATTATGGCTGTTGGATAGTTATAATCAAGTCTTTTTTTATTCCTGCTTTAACTCAAGGACTTGGCAGTGATGTAAGGAGATGATTGGATCTTACAGAAATGTATGTTGATTGGTTGAACATGCAGTGTTCTTCCTACACCTGCACTATTAAAATGTCTCGTGTTAAAGTAGGCCTATAATAACGATCCCTATTTTCTGCTATGATGTTGGAACAAGACATAAGAAGGGTATACTTAGCTCTCCTTATCAGTGCCACCAGATCAAATTGATGATGATCATTAAAGGTCTATAAATCAGCATAAAAGTTAAATTAGGTCTAAAAATTTGAGTTTCGGGATCAAGTGATTCCTCTGATCTGATTGTCTTTACAATAATTAACATTTAAAACATCAATTTTCAGGTGTTCAGTTCTATGAAACATATTAGAGCTTTTTGGCAAAACTAATAGTTCAGCTGATATCTTAATCACAAAATATCAGAAGTTTGTGTGATATATGTATGACCAGATAACCTCTCTGAACTGGGTGGAGCAATCCATATTCAGTCTGGTGTCTGGCTCCCTCTGCTGGTCAAACTGGAAATTGCAGCTGTTTAATAGCTTGAAAATTGTCGATTTAAATGCTTTCAATTAAAACAGGGATTACATAAAATTGTTTTAGAACAGTTAAACAATTTTTTTATTATTTAAACCCACATATTGTGCAGAACATAGAAACTAATCCAAAAGATGACTTTATTGCGACACACGCTTTTTAACCATGCAATGCAGTGCGTCACAGTCACCAGCAGGTGGCAGCAACGCATCTTTCAGTTAGTTTGCCAACCAGAAGAAGAAAAACCTTCGTTCATGAAGCTAATATTATTAGCAAACCTTCGTTCATGAAGCTAATCGCTCACTGTTGAAAGATGGAAACCACGAAGACCCTGGAAGTGCCAAGAAGTCTGAGAGAAACATGTTTCCAGGCTATCAGGACACATTTCTCCGCTCTGGGAGCTAACGCAGTTCTGGGTGAGTCAGGTGAAAACTGGTAAAGAATGAATGAAAACTAAATGGTGTAACTGCAACCAGTCAGGAGGCCACCAGCATCAAGCCAAACAAATCAAACGATCTTACTGCCTGTTCAACCTGTGTGCAAGAAGATGAAAAGAGACTAACGTTGTCACGTGACCATATAGGCTCGCTGGTGTCACCGGGGGGTCTCACGTGACTGTTGGCATAAGATACTCGACCTGCACCTGTGCAAGAATGATCATTGAGAGCTTGAAGCACTGTCTGTCAGTAGGGATGAAATAGAATAACTAAAACATGCTGGGTCACAAGGAACAAGATCTGATTTAGTGTAATTAAAGCTGAGTGTCAGGGTTTGTTTTTCTGCCTGAAACAATGTTGAACACAAATATCTTTTGGTTCATTCAAGCAACTAAAATGTTTGTTTTAGTTGCTTTAGTCTGTTAAAATGTACAAGTTTTTATTTGCAGTGACACCGTGTTTCAAACAAACTAGATAGAGAAACTTAAATTTCTGTGAAAATTCAGTTTGAATTCAGAGAGCTGACCACTGACATCCTAACGTCTGCTTAAATCTGCTGACCTTTAATAATCTAACAGTCCTCATTCAGAGCTGCAGAAATGTAATTTAGTTTAACGTAAAGTTGCTTCTTTTCAGTCGTGATCATTATTTTTCAAATTTTATTTCTTAATCTTCCTTTTTAAGCCATTCCAGCGTCTCTCATCAGGGATCTTCTGCCCCACCTGACAGTTTGCCAGCTGGATGAAGTCCAGCCTGCTCTGAATGACAGAGGTAAGGAGGCTGCTTGCTTCTCTCCTCAGCAAGGAGCACTGGTTTGGATAAGGCCAACTTTATTTACAGGGTGCCTGTACAGTCTTCAAAAGTATGAACTTGGTTTTAATATTTCCCATTTCTAGATAAAAATATTGTAAAATTGTAACAATATTTCAACGTTTGGTTACTTATTACATTGTAAAATAAATAGATAAACAGAATTTCTAAAAGTGGGTGAAATTAGCTGAGTGTTTCATACTGATAAAAGATTAATAAAATACAGTAATCATAGCCGCCCAACACTTTTTGTTCATCTATCTCTAGGATTGACTTCTGGAAACCTGAAATAATAATGTGTAGGATCTCTGTAATCAGTGTTTTTATTTGCTTTTTAGGGATTTCCACTTACTCTGGATGGTTTAGTATCCTGCAGGACTTTAATAGTGATTACTGTGTAGGTGCACCTTTTTTTTCTCTTTAAAAATTTGCGACATGTTTCGTAGAAATCTGCCAGATCTTTTCTTCTTTTTTCAGCCATTAGAATTCAACACAGAAGAAAAAGCCAAACATGAAGTCATGAGGTATCTTTTCCCACTTGTCTTCTACGGCTTCAAGAATCACTATATTATAAAAAACAGCGAAAACTTAAAAAACGAGTCTTTCTTGTGGGCTGCAGCAAGCTGCAACACGCAGTTTTGGCTCAAGACAAACAGCTCCAAGCCTCTGCAGACGTTAACTTCTGACCGGCGGCCTCTTCTGACCCTCTTAGAGGAGCACATTAGAACTATTATTCTGCCCCTCCCTTTGACTTTGTCAGAGAGCAACACAAGGACTGCGCTGTACATCCTCCACCGCCTGCTGGACCACGGCTCTGCCTCACAACTTGTTCTACATTCGGAGTGTCGATCCGCTCTACCCTGGCTCCTACATGGACGGGGATCCCAGTATGTGAACCCAGCGCTGAGGAGCCTTTTCTGCTCCAGTTGCATCCTTTCACCCAGCAATGATGTCGCTGGTCCCAGTCTTGGTCCTGAGGATGAGGAGCTTCACGTCTCTGTTTGTAAACGCTCAAGACTGGACTCTGAAAACTCGGAAGAATCAAACTTAGCCGTGGACCCGCACGTTCTGTGTTCAGCCTATGGACAAGGTGCTGTTCCTTCGGCTGGTCCTTGTCCGTGGGGACAGATTACCCATCTGGATCTCAGAAAATGTGGATCTGAGTCTTTCAGATGCCTAATTCCTGCACTGCCCACATTTTTCTGCCTTCGCTCTCTAACTCTTCACAGCTCCAGTAAGTTTGTTTTTGACTTCTCCCTTTGTTTGGTTCAAGTGTGTTTTTTTTCCTTAGAGATATTTTTACATAAAGATATTTAATATGTAACTGCAGCGGTGGATTATACCTCTAAAACGATGACAGGGCACTAAATACTGGAGCTATTTGTGCTGTTAGAATCAGAGGCTGAGGAGGGCAGGGATATGACTAAGAACATCTGCGCTCTTTTAACACTGCCCAGCCAAAAAAAAAAAAAGGTCACCACCTGGATTTACAAAGCAAATCGTAAAAGCCCACCATTGGGTAGATGCTATTATTTAATCCGAACTGATGCAGTGCTTCTTATCTGCTAAAAAACTGTCTAAAGAGGTCATGAGGTCATGGAAAAGAAGTTGATCTGGTTCAGAGAGGTCAAATTATTGGCATCAGTCAGAGAAAACATCTTAATGATTGCTTAAACCACTAAAATCTGGCTAAGAACTGTGCAGTGGAAGAATGTCTGGCGAGTCTAGATTGACTCTGTTCCAGAGTGATGGGAGCATCAGGGCAGGAGGAGAGGCACCCATCAGCCCTAAAGCCTACTGTAGAAGCCCCCGGGATCAGGTGGTCTGGTCTAGGTTCATGAGGTCAGCGAACTACCTGAACAAACTGAATGACCATCATGCCATCCATGGATTTCCTCTCTCCTGATGGTGCAGCCATGCTCAAAGTTGATCAGGCTCAGATTTAAGAGAGTTGTTTAGAGCAGTGTTTCCCAAAGTTGGGGTTGGGACACAAAGTGGGGTCCTGAAACATCAAGGTGGGGTCCTGAAAAGATTTTTTGAATTAATTACATTTTTGCTTTAGTTGTTACAAAGGAGTGAGGTTAGTATATTTAAAATGGATAAATGTAGTATAAAAATATTGTTACTATACCCATGTTTAGTTGACCTGATACAAATGTTTATCATCCAAAAATAGTTGGGGGCACAGGTCTCTGCTACTGTTATTTTGTGGGTCAAAAGCTGAAAAGTTTGGGAACCACTGGACTTTGGTTCCCAAAGTTGGGCTTGGGACCCAATTATGGGTCATGAAGCACCTTGAATAATCTCCAGAAATCAATTTAAAGGGTAAAAAAATAATTGCTGGTGTAATATTTTCCCTATAACTATTACAAAAACACAAAATAAGTATAAATAAATATTTATATTTGTGTACAAGCTGTTTAGATTGTCAAAAACCTGTGTTTTTAGGATTATTGAAGTTCATGTACTCCAGGGGTGTCAAGATCCAGTCCTCGAGGGCCACTATCCTGCATGTTTTAGAGGTTTTCCAGCTCCAACACACCTGATTCAGTGATTGAATTAACTCTTCAAGTTGTGCAGACGCCTGTTATCACCCAGCCATCAAAGTCAGGTGTGTTGGAGCAGGAAAACCTCTAAAACATGCAGGATAGCGGCCCTCGAGGACTGGAGTTTGACACCCCTGATGTACTCAGACCAGTAATATTTGGGGTCACAAGTTTTTGCCACGGATATTTTGTGGGTCAGAAGATAAAAAGTTTGGGAACCACTGGTTTAGAGAGCATGAGACATGATTTTCACACATGGATTGGGTCCACTAATCCAGACCTGAACCCCAATAACAAATGTGTGCTGTAGTCAAAGCTAAAGGTGGTCCAAACAAATATTAGTGAGTTACTTTTTTCTTTTTTCTTGGCCAGGCAGTGCATGTCCAGTGTTCAACGTTTCACCATCGCAACACAACTTTAGATTTACTGTGAGCACAACGATCACAGAGGCAGGAACATTAAACAGACTCATCCACCGGAGCTCACAGAAAGATGTGATCAGACCGTTACAGAGAAATCCTCCAGCATCACTTGGCTTTAGGAGAGTTTAACCTTCAACACCACTCACCATTTTAAAGGTCAAAACATGATTAACAGTACTCCACGAGCAGTTCAGAACCCACATTAAATCTGTGATAGTTTCTACAGCTGCCACCTGTTTGAGTTTCTTTTTCATGAACTGAGTCTGTCACAAACACAATCAAACGTAGACCAACTGTTTGCTTTGCTGTGCAGCTGTGTCGGGCTTCAGGGAGGCGGACGTGTTGAACCTGGCTGCAGCCCTGAAGGAGCTCTCTGACAGCTGCTGCAGCAGCCTCTCTGATCTGAGCGTCAGTGTCCTGCCCCGCACCGAGCTCATGAAGACCCTGCTGGATGCCTTCCCCGGCCTGACGTCCCTGTACCTGGAGATCCAGAGTGTCCTGCCCAGACCACGGTTCATCCCGGATCATCCTCCAGCGGCTGCCGCAGACTCTACAGGTGAGGCCACTTAGCTTTGAGCAGGGTTCAGAAACTGATCCTGCCTTTTTATAAAGTCTAAAGAGCACTTTTTATTTTGATTTTAGCGGTGTATTCTAAATATTTAAATTTACATCTTTTAGCTTGTTGGTTTTATTTGCAGGGAGTTCTTTAAATAACAAGAAAAACACTTCTTTTTCTGAGCTGCTACTGGTTCACAAAAACTACTAGATTTTTAAAATAAAAGCAAACCATTGAGACTAAGCCTTGACTTGTTTACAGCTGAGCTAATGTTGGAAAAGCTAACGGTGAAGATAACTGAAGACCAAACAGACCTGCGGTCCCTGACCTATCTGCTGAGCCGCTCCCCTCGCCTCACCTCACTTCACTTATCTGGAATAAGACCCACCGGTTCCACTCTAAACCAACTCCTCACAACCCTCTCAGGTAAAGGGCCGTCACTGTGGTTCCTGAGTTGTGATGCTTCTGTGTTTTCTGTTTGAGGACACCTGCATGTAAACATTAAAGGCCTAGCATAAGGAATGCACAATAAAATCCTCACTGGAACATAATAATGCAGGGGGAGCAGTGGGAAAACTCAACATTTTCTGGTCTCCAAATACAAATAAAATCCAACAGATGGGACCATTTTAATGCAAATGTTTGTTTTTAAATGGATCCATGATTAGTTGTAACATTAGACTTTATTTAATAAACATATATTTTAACTGTAAAATAAAGACTGTAAAAATACTGTAGGCTGTTTAGTTTTTATCATTTTTAAACTAAAAGTTTAAAAATATATTACACGGACGGGGCCATTTTATTTACACGCAAAGCATTCTGGGTAAATGATGACGTGGATAGGTCCTCGGTACGAGGCTGCTAACGAGCTATATCCACCCTGAAGGTTAATCTTGGACAATATCTGATGATCGACTCTTTTAAATGAAACCAGAGAGCGTTGACAGAGAGGAGAAGGTAGAAATGACTCAGCCTGTAACTGAAAATATGGATGGAGGACAACAGAGCTGCTTCATGGAAGAAGAACCTCAGCTTAGCCTGTTAGCTTTAGTATTAGCCCCAATGCTATCACCATATATATGTATTAGCTCAGCGCTACACATTCTCCTCTCATCACTGAGGTCCTCCATCCACATGACAGAGAGGGGAACACAAAAATGACTCAGCCTGTAACTGAAAATATGGATGGAGGACCTCAGTTTATCTTGTTTGTCTTGCTAGCACCCAGCTAATACATATAAGGCCATATAGTGTCGGCGCTAGCACAAAGGCTAACAGGCTAAGCTGAGGTTCTTCTTCCATGAAGCAGCTCTGTTGTCCTCCATCCATATTTTCAGTTACAGGCTGAGTCATTTCTACCTTCTCCTCTCTGTCAACGCTCTCTGGTTTCATTTAAAAGAGTTGATCATCAGATATTGTCCAAGATTAACCTTCAGGGTGGATATAGCTCGCTCACACCGATGACCTGTCCACCTAGAATGCTTTGTGTGTAAATAAAATGACTCCATCCATGTTAAAATAAATTTTTTAAATTTTACAAAACTAAACAGCCTACAGTATTTTTACAGTCTTTATTTTACAGTTAAAATTTATGTTTATCAAATAAAGTCTAATGTTAAACTAATCATGGATCCCTTTAAAAAGTGTTCAGTAATCATTCACGGTCATCTTTCAGAGTCAAATTGCTGCCTGAGGGTTCTCCGCTTTGAGGATGTGAAACTGTGTGATTGTCTCCCTGAGGTCCTGAACATATTGAGGACCTTCAAGTTGGAAGGTAAAAAAATAATAAAATAACTACTACCTTAACAATGAACAGTTCAGTTCAGATTTAGGTATTGTAAGTAGAATCAGCCTCCATTGCTGTGAAGATTGTGACAGAAGCTTTGTCTTGACCAGAAGTCCACGTCTTCTAATGCAACCTGAATGCAGAACTAGTTTCCTTGTCCTCTCAGAGCTTACACTGAACGACTGCCGTCTTCTGGAGAAATGTAGTAACGAAGAGGAAAGACTGCTGCAGCTGGTGGCTGCTTTCAAACAGATTCCTTCTCTACTCAAACTGAGTGTTGCACAAAACCGCCTGGGTAAGAAATATTCATCTTTATCTTCCTTCCAAACAAGACTTCTGGACAGTGTAGGCCTCCCAGACCCAGAGTGTCTTTGTTTGAAACATTTCAATGTCATTTATTGGGAGTGAATCCAATACAAGTCAAATAAACTTTTATTCTGTTTTAACTAATTTGAGTTCCTTTCAAAATAAAGCACATTTTGATTATTGATTCCAGTTAAACAAATCCAATGGAAATCAGTCGTTTTCATTGATTTATAACTGATTTGTTCACGTGATTTAAAACTAGCATCTTTTTCTGTTCCGACAGCCAAGAATGTTTGCATCCTGGCAGAACTGTTCTCAGGACCCGGTCCAAGCTCCGTGAAGCACCTCAACATCAGGTCAGATCTGGATCTTCTATCAGCCTGGTCCAGTTAAACTCTTTACTAAATAAACACACAGATGCACACAGATCAGTTGTTTCCCTTAAAGCTCAAAGTGGGTTTGTTAAAATCAATCATCTAATGCTTGTGTCAAACTGAAGGCCCGCGGGCCAAATGTGGCCTACCACAGCATTTCGTGTGATCCACGAGAGCTTCAAAGATGTATTGTTTTAGAAGAAGCTTATGCTACTTTGATCATAAACTACGTCTCCCATAATGCATGTTGATTATTTTCCCTTGGAATTGACCATCACACCACTAGGTGGAGGAGCACAGGTTCAAAAGTAGCTGGCAGTGAAGTTCAGTGTAAAATCAACATTTCACTGCATTTTTTCCAGTTAGGTGTTTATAAGAAGACATGTTAAAACTCTTGTTTCTGTGCAAGAAATACCATGTAGAGCTCAGTTATTGTTAGTGATGCTCAGCTGTAGCAGTGACATTAAGACTTTTCATTGAAGTTAATTTACAACTGGTCTCTTGAGGGCCGCCATGTGTCCCTCAGTGAAAATGAGTTTGACGTCGATGACCTCATGTATAATCCACACGTCTTTAGAGTGAAAATAAGAGATTAGTTTGACAGCTTTTCTTTGTATTTTGTTTAAAGTGTTGATCTGAGCTTCAGTTCAATCCTACAAACCAGCTGATTGTTTGAAGGTGATGTCTTCTCTCCTGAACAGCTCAAACTTCATCCTTCCTCCTTATTTACTGGAGTTTGCTGAGAGTCTGAGGGCCCACCCCCCAGCATGTAGACTGATTCTGGACCTGAGGCAAAACCCAGCAGACCGAGACTTTGGCACATGGACCAGAGCTGTCCAGAGGCTCCAGCCCATCGCTCTTCTCCTGACTGAGAGATGGAAATCCACCGACATGATGGTGGATCACGTCAGCAACATGTGACAGTTTTCCTCCTCTTCTTCTGTCCTGGACCACCAACAGACTGGCTTCAGTCTACGTTTTACTCCTGAACCAAAAAACTCGTAGTTTAAGAAATATAAATTGATGTTCTGAGTTTGAACAATTTAAACCTGAACTTTTTTTTTTTTGAAGACACAAAGGGATATTGTTCAGACGTGATTTGTTTTATTATTCACTGAAGGATGAAGGTGGGAATGTTTTATCCCACGTCTGTGTGTTCACAGAGCTGTCTGCATTCTGTCACATTGTTTTAATGTTTGACCAAAAGCTTCAACTCTGTCTGTTTGGATCAGATTTTAAAACTCCAGCATGGAGGACAGCAGCAGATTTACATTCTTTCAAACCGTTCTTTATGCACGCTGTTCAAGTTCTGTTGAACAAAAAAAGATTCTTAGTTTGACAGTTGGATCATTTATTAAGCCAACACCCCTCAGGCTGAACTTGTGTGTGTGTGTGTGTGTGTGTGTGTGTGTGTGTGTGTG